CTCAATGTGAAAGCCCGCAGGTGATGGAGATTTACCGCTGATTACAGAACCGGCTTTACTGATAAGATGCGCGTTAAGTATCGCATGCGATTTATCGTGCAGCCCTAATTATTATATTAAAGACTTTCTTGTGGATTATTCTTCCTCGTCTTCTTCGCCTTCCTTAGAGAGACTGTAACAGAATAACCGACCCTCAAATTGAGTATCAAAATAGCGGCATTTTCCTTTCTCTTTTGTTTCTGTTTCTTCCCTCTCCCGGAATGGATATCCCAGCTGTTCTACTCCTGTGCCAGCGAACGGTCCCAAGGAGGATTTCACCGCTTTCGTGGAGTGGGTGGTGGAGAAAAACTGATCTCCATTCACCATCTGCCCCGCTGAGGAGGATATCTCCAGCCCCACTCCCGAACCAGAGACCAGCCAGCTGTCATCCCGCTGCACGGAGCAAATGTCTGAGCCCACCGCAGACGGAGAGCCTGAGCCTGCCGCGATACGTGAGCCAGCGAGCATACCCGCACCAGAGACCAGCCAGCCGTCATCCCGCTGCACGGAGCAAATGCCGGAGACCACCGCAGATGGAGAGTCTGAGCCTGTCGCGACACATGAGCCAGCATGCATACCCGCTACTGAGCGTCGCCCCGGAGCCTGGACCTCAAGACCGGTCTGACCAGGTGCGTGAGCCGGCAACATCGCCTGTCCCCGATGGAGTACTAGTGGAGATCGAGGGCTTGGAGGGAAGCCACGCCCACACTCCCGCCACTGAGGGTGAGCTGCAGCTGGCCTCTGGGATGTATTATGAGGAACTAATGGACATTTTTCAAATGGACTTAATAGACTGGTTTGGGGAGGGAATACTCAGTTCTCCTGCGTCTCCGCTGGTTCCGCCCAGCTCCTGTTCTCCGGTGTTGTCTCGCAACCTCCCTCTTCAGTCCCTCAGCTCACCCTCAGTCAGCGCCATCTGGGCGTTCTGATCCACCTCGGGACTACCAGTCTCCAGCTCCGCCTTGGCATGAGGATCCCCTGTCTCCGCCTCCAGCCTCCGAGCCCTGGAATCCACCTCGGTCCTTCGACCCATTGGCTCCGCCTTGGCTCCTAGCTCCCTCGTCTCCACCGTGGCCCGTCATCCCACCAGCTCCACCGGGCTCCCTTGTCCCTCCGGCTGGACTTTTGTTTGTGTTCCTGTTCTCCTGCCTTAGTCTTCCTTTGACCTAGTTTTCCTGAGTTGCCCTGATTAGCTAATTTGGTTCCACCTGTGTTTATTAATTATCTAATTTTTCTATTAGTACTTAAGTCCTGTGTTCTCCCCTGGTTCTTGTTCTGCTATTTGTTGTTTTGTCGATGTGTTGCTACCCCGTACTCTTGGATTCCTTATGTGGATTATTATATTAAAGACTTTCTTGTGGATTATTCTTCCTCGTCTTCTTCGCCTTCCTTAGAGAGACCGTAACAGAGGGTGAGCAAGTGATGACAACATTTTCATTTTTGAGTGAACTCTCCTTTTATCTAACATGAACTATTAGCAATATACAAACCCGATTCCAAAAAAGTTGGGACACTGTACAAATTGTGAATAAAAACAGAATGCAATGATGTGGAAGTTTCAAATTTCAATATTTTATTCAGAATACAACATAGATGACATATCAAATGTTTAAACTGAGAAAATGTATCATTTTAAGGGAAAAATAAGTTGATTTTACAACTTTTTTGGAATCGGGTTTGTATTTTACAGCTTTTTTAACCTGTTACTTTTTAACCTGTAATGTTCATGTTCATGTTAGTTCACAGTGCATTACCTTTTACATTTTAGGATAAAAATGTATTAGTATTGAAGAATTGTTTATTGTTAGTTAACCAATGTAGTTAACCAATGATAACAAACTAAACCTTATTGTAAAGTGTAACCTATTATTAACATTAGCTATTAAAATGCCCTTGAGGTCTCTGAGACCCCAAACAGAACATGAGGGTTCAGTGTGCTCTTATTGCGCTTTCCAATTATCAATAAAAATATGCTTTCCTAGGTGCCACAGCACTTCTTATTTAATCAGCCTATGCCCCAGAACAATCCTGCCCTCTTTTTTCTGTGTCCTCAACCCCCTCTGGTAAACCCCGGCAGGTGCTGATGGGGAAGGTTTGCTCTAAGGATTGAGCCCACACAGAAGGGGAGCAGCTGAGGGTAAGTTTCCTCAGGCGTCTCCGGACACACATTCAGTCCCTGGCACAAGAGGCCATTCAGCATTACACAGAGTCGGGGCCTTCACAGCACTTCTCTCACAGCTCACTGTGCGAGGGCTGCCCATTCACTACGCAACAGATCAGGACGGGAGCACAGAGCGATAAAAGAGACCTTCGATTATTCTGGACAAACTGCTGCTGCGTTTAAATATGACTGAGCTTCATAATGGGTCAGTGAATAACACATGCCTTATCTTGAGGAAAAAAGGAAGACGGTGTGGAAAAAGTGGAAGAACATCATTGACTAATGAGCATGTTGAATTTTCCACCTGAGGGAACACCATGAAATTCATAGAGGGACTGATTTATCTCTTCACGCCATTTAAAATCCCACCGCACACCTCCTGCTCGGACAGACTCAGTGAATGGAGTTTAATTACACTGTTGGGAAACCTCTGCATTAGTATTTGGAACTGCATAATTATATCTGTTCATAAGGCCATTTCGTAATTGTTTTCATTCCATCTAATTGGTTTTTCTCAAGACCAGAGACAAGGCATGAAGTGCTGATGCATGATTGGTCTGTCTTGACACACACTGAATGCATGAAAGGAGGATAAGGTGGGAAGGTCTATGCATAGCTCAAAATTCACATCAAGAAAATAAATATTGGTTGCTCGGGGGAGATGAATGCTTAGATTTAATGTGCATTTCTTTGATGTGCTCTCAGTAGTATTACAGAACAAAGAATATTTAAAACATGCTACAAAACTGAAAGACATTTTCACATTGATTTTCATACTCAAGTGTCTAGTTTGTGTCATATTTTGAAAAAGAAAAAAAAAATTCACTCTCTATATTCTGATGCTTTCGTGAGAAAAAGAAACTGAGAAAGAGTCTGATAGAGCAGTGTTTCCCAACCTTTTTTCTCCCACACGTAAGGCTCAAGAATCCCCTCATCACATTAAACAATAAACATAATCAATAATGGAAGTATTGGAAACAATACTGGAAACATTTCTAGGTGCAAATATGAAAAACCTTATAAAAAAAGACCCAACAGTGAATTTATTTATGAAATGTCAAAATTCTGTTTTATATATTTAGCAAAGCAAAAATCAAAATCTTCCCAAGTACCCCTTGTTGGGAATGAATGACACAAAGACTAAAAAACCCCAGATATTTCACATCCCCTGCCTATAACCTCACTATATTACTGCTGTTAGACATCTACATGAGCCTAAAGAGCTTTAAAGTAATTGATTAATCAATTCATAGGCTATTAATGCTTGTTTTTTTGAACAGCGCTTTGATCCTGCATGTGTTCTGTACAACGGAAGCTATTACACGTTGAGCGTTTTGCGACTAGAAACGCAAATATCTTACAGGCTACTAAATCATAAAATGATCTGTCACCCCAAATAATTGACCGACAACCCCAAAACTATTACGCAAAAATAGTTACTAATTCAAAAGAATCAGTATTTTGAGCATAATATAAGCGTTTCGTGATGTATCAGAGACAAAGAGCGCGCGTCCATCATGACGCATAAGTGAGATTAATTGCACGTACGGTAGTGAAACGAAATTAACAAAAAAATGACGTACACAAATGTGTTTAACTTGATAATTAGGTTATTGCACAACTACAGGCGTATTCCAGGCGTAACGCGCATTCAGCGTAATACGCATTTTTGCGTCTGAACCCTGCACTTTCTGCACGTGTGAACCACATATCACTAGTATATTCAAAACGCGCCACATTTGATATCAAATATATTAGGCTCTAATACAAATCAGATCAATTTCATCTCCGCGAGGTATGCGCAACAGGGAGACAAAAACTTTCACATCCACACTTCTTTTTAATCATTCTGCCATCAAAGCAACAGATATACATGAACAGCAGCTGCAGTGCGTTGATATGCACCACAGACATTTATCTCTACACTGTAAAAATAGGTTGTACTCACAAGCATATGTCATGGAGAAGCTATTGCCCATTTTGACCATATCCACTTGAGGTACCAGTTTAGGGATATCCTGGTGATGCGAGAGCGCAAACCGAAACACTTCATATTCGTGTGATTCGGTTGGGAATAACCCTCCTGTGGGGGAAGAAAAAATCCCAAAATACATTAAAGCAACCTAGGGAGTTTTCTGGTCAAACAAGTTAAAGTCCATAATTATGATTTTTTTCCCCATTTTTTTTTTTTATTCACAACACATCATTCTACTCTCCATCCTGCACTTTTGTCATTTACTCACCTATGTTGATATTACTTGGGAAACTGGACCCGAAGCACAATCCCAGAAAACTGGTGTAGAGCAGTGTGAGGCTTCGCTGCATATTTCCTTTTGCATTAGCGAAGAAAAAGAAAGCCAAATCCCAAGCATGGGTATGCGCGTGGTGTAGAATACGTCTTCTGGATGCTCTCACACTATCCGCACATCGGCGAGTGAGCAGCGTGAATTACAGGTGCACCTCTTTGCGCGGGCTGCCCTCGTTCGCACTCGCGCCGCGTCCTTGTGTGTTGCGCTCCTAGTCGTTCCTTCAGCACAAGCAGCACTTCCTCTGAAAGTCGCGGGCTCGACAGAGAGAGAGAGAGAGAGAGAGAGAGAGGGACTCCGATAACCTTATTCCACACCAGCGCAACACCATGTGTGGACTTTCTTCTCGCGTTCACAATTAAGCACTTACTCGTATGACTGAATTACAAAGCGGTCTTTCTCGCGCTCTAACTGTGCGTCTTGTTACGCACAAAGAGTCGATGGTGAATAACATGAGCGAATGCTTTGAAATGATGTTTTAGACCTTCGTCACTTCAAGGTCCTCCACTGTCAAAGACAATAATCGCAGGGCTCTGATATTTCCTTTGGTTTTCTCTCCTGTAATGATGACAAATCTGCTTGTTTTTTTTTCTTTTCAACAAAACCTAGGAGTGATTAAAATAATTAACTGTGATGAATTCCAGAAGTTTCAAGAACTGTATGTTCTTCATTAAAAACAACAGTTGTTGTGGGGACAAATTTAAATAGGAAATATGATGCTAGTTTACATATTGGACATCTCCATAATATTTTTTTTTATCATATTAACTAAGCCATAATATTTTAACATATAATTTGAAGTCATCTTGCCTTCAAGTTAGCCGAGGCCTACTGGTTGACAACCACTGATTTAGAGTAGATAAACTTTACTAGCCGACATCAACAGAGAGACCATCTGCTGCATCCCAAACCAAAGACAGCGGCTGTCCAGTTCCCTCATAAGTAAATGAAGGTTTCAGACAGGCTTACAATACTCCATAACATACCAATACACATGAATGTATAGATTTTATATGTTAAAGGTATAACTCATGTTATATGTAGAATTATTTGAGCATTTCACCTGAAATCCTCCTAATCTGTATGACTCAAATGTTGTCTGTGTTTGATCGTGTTGCAGGGGATTGCAAGGGAACAGCCTGTAAACAGTGTGTTCAATGTAGGGAACAGTGAACAGTGCATACAGACCGTGTGAATTTGAGCAACTAATCTCATGCAAGAACATTAAGACTACAAAAACATGTAACTGCAATAAAATCAACAACAATTTAATCACTTCCTATACAGTTAGGGTTAATAACGTAAGGCATTTCTGAGAACTGGATGAAAATAAGAGCAAAAAAACTATTTGAAACTTAATCTCTATTTTCAAGGCATACAATTAAGATTTTTAATGATCTTTATCATGAAATCTCTTCAAATCTCTTATCTTCCTTGGTATAGGCACACCATGTGGAGTTAAAATTGTGATAGTTTTTAACACGCAGGCTCAAGCACTGAAACCATCCTTTATAATGTGGCTGGGCAATCTCTACCACTTAGAGTGGCACAGCCGGCTTCGCAGCCACTTTGAGCTGGAGAGAGCAATGACAAGATTAGAGCTCTTGGGCTGATTCAGAACAACAGTGGGTTATTTATAATCCACTGCACTTTCAGTGCGATAGAGATTACCTGCTGGCAAACACTGCAGGAAAAAACATGCCAGTCACTGTCGCAGCATCACTACAATAATTCTCAAACCATTCAAGATGCTCATGTTCTCATGGATCCATGTATTATACATCATGCTTCTAGGTTAAGCTATCACATGTCTGAGGCTGCAGTAAAAATATTTTGTCATTTGTCATATTTTGTTGACGAGCAAACCTACCAGGGTTCAGCTCAACCAAGTTTCTGCATCAGCATCAGGTGTTTTAAATGCAAGGTTGGCTTAAATGCTACTCAAGTTACTTTGTCAGGTCTTTTGTGATGTATGTTTCAAACTTGTTTATGAAAAAGGTTGTAAATCCTGCCTTTGACACAATTAGGATTAAGGATAAGGTCATTTATCAGACCCAAGCAATTTCTCTCTTCTGGATAATGGAAAAATTGCTTTTCTTTTTAATATTGTCTCACACAAACAGAGGGCCCAGTTAGCATATTGCCGGCAAACCGAGCTGGACAATTTGGTCAGTCGCACTTTTAAACACATTTTAGTTTTGCTATAGGAAATCTACACATTCACACTCAGATTACATAGAGCAGCAGCAGGAAGCTCATGAGGTTGTCATGGCAACCTGATACACTGCACGCAAATTTTCTATTTTGCCACACTAAATTTAGCAATAAACACGTTGAAAATAATACAAAATAAACATGTCTGCCAAAATATAAATAAAGGTGACTTGACTTGACTTGACATAGAGCAGCAGCAGGAAGCGCGTGAGGTTGTCATGGCAACCTGATACACTGCACGGAAATATTCTATTTTGCCACACTAAATTTAGCAATAAACACGTTGAAAATAATACAAAATAAACATGTCTGCCAAAACGATCTCAAAGGAGACTTTTATTAAGTAAATCAAGGAGTGAATTACTCATCCACTGTTTAAAGAAATACTTTAGCTGGGTTTCCACAGGCAGGATCACAATTATCTACAGTGTGTGAAGCTAAAGGTTTTTGGGTTAAGGTTCATAATGTAGAACACTTTTAACATTGTATGCTGTATGTGCATAGGTAGCTAGCAAACAAGGAATAGGCCTACAGCTGTTAAGCTAATAGTCACATTTAGCTGAGTAAGATCATGATTCAGAG